GTAGTGCTGGGAATGGGAGGTTGGGCAGAGCTGGTCTTTTATGCAAAACCTCTGGCATAGGCTGAGTTAAACTGACCTAGAGCTGTTGGAGTGAGTCCAGAGGAGACCACGGAGCTGCTGCGAGGGCTGGAGCAGCTCTGCTCTGGAGCCAGGCTGAGAGAGCTGGGCTGGGGCAGCTGGAGAAGAGAAGGCTCCTCAAGGGGACACCTTAGAGCAGCTCCAGTGCCTAAAGGGGCTCCAGGAAACCTGGAGAGGGGCTTTGGACAAGGGATGGAGGGACAGGACAAGGGGAATGGCTTTAACCTGCCAGAGGGGAGATTGAGGCAGAAGCTCTTCCCTGTGAGGGTGCTGAGGCGCTGGCACAGGGTGCCCAGAGAAGCTGTGGCTGCCCCATCCCTGGCAGTGTTCAAGGCCAGGTTGGACACAGGGGCTTGGAGCAACCTGCTCTAGTGGAAGGTGTCCCTGCCCGTGGCAGGGGGTTGGAACTGGATGAGGTTCTTTCCAACCCTAAACCATTCTGTGATCAGTTGGTATCAGGGCTGAGGGGGTATCTTTGTACTCCAGGAGCAAAGCGCTTGAGGCAAACCACATCTGTGTCATCACTCAGATGAAACTGAGCTACCAGCATATCCCTAAATTAAAAACCATCATGTGCGTAAGAGAAAAGGCAGAACACAGCTCATGGTGGTTAGTAATGGTGTGTGTTCCTCAGTGGTTTCCTTGGTGAAGCGGTGTTGTCTGTGGGAGGTCACTCTCTTTGTTAGAGACCTGCCATGGCTTGTGTGTCCCCACAGCCCCTCGGTGAGAAGGGAAGGTCACAAGGTGTCCCATCGCAGGGTGATGGTATTCACAGCAGAGCCCTCCGAGTGTGTCACACCACGTCGTTTGCCCTGGAAGTTTCCACGCAGGTTAAGTTCAGATGCTGCAGTACCTCCAGCACCACCCACTCCAGAGGTTTCTGACCTCATTATGTAGAAGCTGGGTGGAAGGTGAGGGTGAGGAATCTGCTGTTTAATCAAGTAGGGTGTTATCAGTCAAAAACCCCAAACACTTCATCATCTCTCTTTGGCGTTCACCATAAACTTTCACTTTCCCTGTAGCACCACCTCATGAGTAAACACCAGAGCCCTTAATCCCCTGGTAATAACACGAGATGGATGGTATCTCATTGGCCTTTCTGGGTGGTGAAGACCATCATGGGGCATCTCTGGACTTCAGTGACTGAAATCTCTTTGATGGGGACAACCCAGACCTGAAGCCTGTGTGGTGTGAGCTGCTCAGATGAGCCAGCTCACGTTGGGAGCGGGTCGGGGTTTAGTGTGG